GTTAACAGATCGAGTTTGGACTTGGAAGGAAAACTGAAGCATCTGTCTTCTGGTGTAACCGCACCTGCGAGGTTTTGGCCGCAGGTGCGGAGCTGCAGAAGCGGCCAAGAGGGTCGCAGAAGTGGTTCTGGCCGAGGTAGGCTGGGACCGCAGATGCGGTCGAGTTTCGCAGAAGCGGGACCGCACCTGTACACATGGAGTCGCAGAAGTGAATGCGTAGAAGCGCGTAAAGGGCGCAGACGCGGGGGGCTATTGGGCCGAGCTTGACCGCACCTGCGATGGAATTTTCGCATGTGCAGAGCTGCAGGAGCGGCTGTTGGACCGCAGAGGCGAGAAGTCGGGCTGGGCAGTGTCATTTTAAGACGAGATTTGGCCATTTTCCTCCATTTTTCTTTTGGATGGGTGATTTTTGGAACTCTTGGAAGGGATATTTTCATCATTTATGCCAAGGTAAGTTATTCCCATCCATTGCAAGTTAAATACATGGTTTGTATAAGGATTTAAGCTTGAAAATTTGTAGAAATTTGGGATTTTGTTAGGAAACCTAAAAATGGATATTTTTGAATTTTGACCACGAAATTGGACGTGAAACTTGGAATAAATTATATATTTGAGTTTGTGGTGCTATGAATAAGGTTTATCTTCGAAAATTTTCGGAATCCGGGCACGTAGGGCCGAGGGTGATTTTATTGACTTTTCGAGCGGAGTTGGAAATTGTTATAAATTGATTAATTATAAGCATTAGAGTACATTTTGATTGGGTTGCATCTTAATTAACTAGTTTGGAACGACGGGCATCGGTTTGAGGTGTTAGAGGGCTTTGGAGCCGATTATGGAACTTCGGAGTGAGGTAAGTCTCCTTTCTAACCTTGTAAGAGGGAATTTACCTCATAGGTGAACTTAATTAATATGTGTTGTTATTTGTGGGGGGCTACGTACGCACGAAGTGACGAGAGTCCGTACGTAGCTACTATCCTTGTTTATGTCCGGGTAGTTTTAGGTTTACACCATGCTTTGTGGACACTGTTATTTGATTATATTTGTTAATTGTATCAAATGAAACTAAGTCGAGGATTTTAAGGATTTAAAAGCTTCAGGTTGAATTGTCTTTATTTTGAAAAGAATCAAAAAAGAGTTATGATTTATTGATAATTTATATTTGACCGCGTCGCAAGTATGATCTGCGAGCGGGGTTATCAAATGAAACTGAGTCGAGGATTTTAAGGATTTAAAAGCTTCAAGTTGAATTGTCTTTATTTTAAAAAGAATCAAGAAAGAATTATGATTTATTGATAATTTATATTTGACCGCGTTGCATGTATGATCCGCGAGCGGGGTAATAGATGCATCTATGGTTCGTATTGTTCGACCCTCGGCAATGCACAATTTACATTTATGTTGGATCGGGCCGAACGTCCTCGGTGGAATTCCCTTTTATAATTGGTATAAATTCATTATTTGAAAGATTATTTATTTTAAATGAAGGAAGTGATTTGGATTCTTAAATATGGTGATGAATTGTTCAGTTATTTCTTGTTCTGAGTTTTATTGTTATTTATATCATGCTTAATTATAATTTCATATTATCATATTGTTGGCCCTTACTAAGTGTCGAAGTCGACCCCTAGTCACTACTTCTTCGAGGTTAGGCGGGATACTTACTGGGTATGCGTTGATTTACGTACTCATGCTACACTTGCTGCACGTTTTTGTGCAAGTGCGTATATGTCTAGTGGCCTTGTGGGCACAAAGGCGCGGTTATGGCGGGACTTAGGTGAGCTGCATTCTATCATACGATCCGCAGCCGGCAGAGTCTCCTTCAGAGTACTTATATTTTTCCTGTCCAATTTGTATTCCGGACAGCTGTTGTATTTTATTTTATATTCCTAGTCGATGCTTATACACTTGTGACACCGGATTTTGGGATAATTATGGGTTGTTATGTATTGGAATTGTTAAAAAATATTATTATTTATTTTATAAATTTCATCTTTCACCATTTAATTGAAGGAAATATGATTTCAAAAATATTAAAATGAGAATCAAGTTAGTATTTATTTTTTGCTTGCCTGACAGCGATGTCCGGCGCCATTACAACCTTTAATGGATTTTGGGTCGTGATACTATTATCATCCGCTAGCCATGAATTGATCCATACAATTTATAGCCCCAAACAAATTATAATGGCTAGCCTAAATATGAGATTAGAGGAACTCTCATATCCCCGTACCTATCCTCCATTTTTCTATAATATTGATTCAGAATCAATCCAATCTCCCCGAATATAACTTAAACCCACATATCAATCCGTTAATAGCCAACGACAATAAATTAGTTAAAAGCTTGAATTTGCTTCAGTAACATTCTAGGGCTACACTTTCAGTTAGTAAAAAAAGGTCCACTAATTCAATCGTTTTGATTATTGGATTCTAACTAATTCATACATCTTATATGATGATATATATTCAGGTCTTGGTTGAGATCCAAAAAAATGGAAGTCAAACCAATCTGGAATTTTCTAAAATGGACCACAAGCTTATACCAAGAATGCAAGTTTCATATGCGGTCACACTCTCACCTCTCTAACTGGAAATCTGACATTTCATTTCAGCTGCAATAATTTTCATGTTCATGGTCTATATATTTGTAACTTTTACTACTTTAAGTCTTACCTCGGCAACATATATAGTTGTTTGTCGGTCTGAGACTTTAATGGCCTTTTAATTTCTACATGTTGTGGTCACTGGTCATGGAAATCTTTTAATTTCTACATGTAGAGTTTAGAAAAACCAAAATTAAAAGAGAACAATTGGTAGAGTTCAATACTCCAATATATTTCAGCATTTTGGGAAGTGAACAATTGGTAGAGTTCAATACTCCAATATATTTCAGCATTTTGGGAAGTGAACAATTGGTAGAGAGTTCAATACTCCAATATATTTCAGCATTTTGGGAAGTGAACAATTATGCGCGAGCTTGTTGTATGAGTTGCTTTCCATATCTGCATTTGTTTTAATGCAGAAATAACAGCAAATCCGTCAGTCAGGTTCACTTTATATATACAAAATTTATACATTGTACAACAGTCTATACACTTTGGATACACAAAAGCGCTCGAGATACATTAATGATATATTATGGATACATTGCAAGATGCACGATACACTCTATATACAAATTTTATGCAATGTATATACTAAATAGACTGTCACTATACAAAAAATATACTAAAATAGACTGTCACTATACAATTTATATACAATAGACTGCCACTATACAAAATATATACAAAATAGACTGTCACTATACAAAAATATACTAAATAGACTGCCACTATACATTTTATATACACTAGACTGTCATTATATAAAATATATACAAAATAAACTGTCACTATACAAAATATATACTAAATAGACTGTCATTATACAAAATAGACTGTCACTATACAAAAATATACTAAATAGACTGCCACTATACATTTTATATACACTAGACTGTCATTATATAAAATATATACAAAATAAACTGTCACTATACAAAATATATACTAAATAGACTGTCATTATACAAAATAGACTGTCACTATACAAAAAATATACAAAATAGACTGTCACTATATAAAAAATATATAAAATAGATATTTCGGACTATTAGATGTAATATGTTTGGGCCGAAGGGCCATTTCGTGTAAGTGGGAAAAAATATGAGCTATTAAAATTTTAAGAGACAGGCAGTTTTCTCTCTTTTTTTCGATTATCATCTTCATATGTGACAAGTTCGAAGCGAAGTGATACCCTAGCATTCGTCAGATTTCATTTGCTTCTCCTATTGTTCTCCCTTCCAATCTTCCCGAACTCAATCCTTTGTTGTATATGTGTAATAAATTCTCTTGTTTTTTTTTTTGCAGGCGTATCGGAGAAACATCAACAGGGAAAGTTAATTATCATGCTCGCCGATGCAAGTGCTACTGCGAAAAAAGAGATGAGAAGTTAATTAAAAGATAAATTAGTCATATCACCATTTTTTTAAAATTAACAATAAATAGGTTAAAAGAATTAATACAACAAAAATCAAATAAGAGAGATAAGTGTAACTAAACCACAAGGGAGATTGTAGTGATAAAGTTAAACTTGAGGGGAAGACTGAAATTATCCAAAAGGGCCCGTTTGGCCATAAAAAAGTCCACTTTTTTGGAAAAAATTTTACCTTTTTCGGAATCAGTGGTTGGCCATAAATTTTTTAAATTTCCCTTAAAATTGAATTTCAAAATTTTTCGAAAATTTTAAAAACTTTAAAAAATTATTTTTTAAATTTTTCACTTCAAATCACTTACAAAAATTCAAAAACAGTACAAATTATATTCATGTCCAATTACAAATCTAATTTTCAAATACTATTTTCACTTGAAAAAAATTACTTTTTCTAAAATTTCACAATCCTTATGTCCAAACGCCCACTGATCTAATAACTGAACTAATATCTATTACTCAATACAAGTGTACAACATTGACGAATCAATCTATTCGTGAGAAGCAAATTTAATCGCGCCATTGACAAGACAAGTATTTTCTCATCATTGCATACTGGAATTGGAAACCTCCATTAATTGACTCATTTATTGGCCCACAGGCAAATCTTTTGTTTAATCATTCTTACGTATCTCAATTTCATTTGCGTCCATCCAATTGGACAGCTCAATTTCATTTTACCTTTCTAGTTAGAGACAGTTTATTTGCAGTGGAGGCTTAAAGGCACCTTTTAGTCCAATAAGATCAGACCGCCCAAGAATTAAGGTCCATTAAGATCCAACATTAACTACGTTAGGCCCACTGGCAAACTCAGCGGCCTAGCATTTTAACCGGCACGGACCACCGTCTTTAACCACTTCTCATGTTTTGTTGGCTCAAGAGAGCAAGCCACCAGACCAAGAGTATTTATCATCAGATAATAATAATAAGAAGAAGAAGAAGAATGACGCTAGTTAAAATACAACTACACACTGTAAATTAAGCCCACCACATATATTTGCACCAAAATATCATCCGGCAGACTAACAAAGTTTAACAACTAAAAACAACACATAAACCTTGCAGTTGCAGCTAAAGCTAGAACCAAAGTTCTTATACAAAACTAAACTAAACTGGGTCACAATCGCAGAACCCAGCTTTCACTATGCGAACTCCAAAAGAGATTAGAACTAAGAGTAGGAGAACCATCATCATACATCAAGTCTTTCTATAGAGGTATTGTTGGATTAAAGAAAGAGAGGAAAGAGGAGATTGACCTCTATACCAAGGGTCAGCCATCTTCTCAAGATGGGCCAAGCCCTATCGTTTAGATGGTCTTTCATCATCCTCTCCACCGTCGTCATCAGAGTCATCTTTGCCTGATCTCTTCCTCTTTGGTGGCGCCTCCACCTTTCCACTAGTGTCTTCATCATCATCCTCTTCCTCCTCAAATGCATCTTCCTCACCATTTTCTTCTGGTTCAAAATCACTAGCATCTTCTTCATCCTCAGCACGGGCCACTGGCCTAACAAGATACTCTGTGCCCAGATCCCCCTGGCATACAGTTCAGAGTAATATATCAGTGGGCATTGATCTTCAGCAAGAACACATAAAAGGAAATGAAATTTTACAAGATAAATTAGAGTGGTTAAGAATGAAATTCTTTCTAAGCTTCACCAACTTCACCCGTAATAAAATTCTTTCACTAGCAGCAAAGGCAATAATAATCAACTATTATAGGTAAACAACAACCTAATATGCAAGCAAATCTAATCCCAGAAGTACCAAATGAGAGAGAACGCACACGAGTCATCTCAGTCTCACTAGTATGCAGCTATCGTGCAGGATGCAAACCCACAAACCAAAAAAATTCCAGAAAGGTTACCTTTGGTCCACGGTAAAAGTAGCTTCCAGGAAAACGTTCATAGAAATTTACTTGGAGATCCAAATATTTGTGAATATTCATAAAATACCAACTTCCCTCCATAGTGTATTACCAAAGAAAAGGGGGAAGAAAAACTATCAATTCAAAATTCAGAAAATAAATTTTCTTCCCCCAAAAATAGAATCTTGGGAGAAAAAATCATAGTACTTTTTAAAACGAGAAAAACTCGTATTTAACCAGCATAAAAGGATATATTTTTATCAAAAAGGGCCATAGAGAAGCACTAACCAAAATTTCTTTTCTGGATTCATCAGATCTGCATATGTAACTTAGACTATCTCACCAATAACTCAAAATAGAAAATTAAAAAGTTCACATACCCAAAAACTTCTTCCTTTCAAACAAACATGACCAAACATCAGATTGCCAAATAAACCCAAGTTTAACAAAAACATTAGAACTATCCAAAAAACCACAGATCTGAACTATTTGAACATTGAAACTGAAATAAATACAAGTAAACTGTTATTTACTTTAAGCAAACAACTAATACTACTGAAATAGAGCAGATCCGAGAATCTTCAACAAGAAAAATCGGCATAGGTACCAAGTTACCAACCAAAATAACTACATATATAACAAACTTATCATAAGCAAAGAGCAAAATTGTAATTTTGGGCAAAAAAGAGTGAAAATTACAAACTAGGTAGTTTTCAATCATTACCTCATCTTCTTCACCTTCCTCCTCGTCGTCATCATCGTCATCGCCATCGTCATCGTCGTCGTCACTATCACCTTCATCGTCCTCATCATCCTCGTCGTCTTCATCGTCCTCGTCATCCTCATCGTCATCTACAGAGAGAACTTGTGGACCACTACCCGAGCTCTGTATGACCTCTTTCTCATCATCCTCGGCGTCCTCGTCGCCGTCATCATCGTCGTCCTCATCATCGTCCTCGGCGTCCACTTCCTCGTTTTTGTCAAGCTCTTCGACCTCGTCGTGAACTGTTGCTTCCTCAAACTCTCGCTCATCGTCGATAATAGCCATGTCGGAGAAAATTCAACGGAGACTTTTTCTTTTTTTTTCTTCGAAAAAGTCAAAATTAAAATTTTCAGAAATTTTTGAGAGAGAAGAAGTGCGAATAGAGAAGCATCTTCGTTCTTCAGAGTAGCTACGCAGACCGTTTCATCTCAGCCGTTGAATAAGGAAATAACACGGATCGATGACGTGGTGACTGATCCAATGGCTGAAAGCAGATCTTGTAGTGTTTCTCGAGCGTGAATAGTTTGCGGCGTGCTGTGTACCATTTTTCTTGTGATTTTGGTGGTCACGTGATTTGCGCCTGCCGGAGAATCTAGGGTTATGTTGTTGGGATATTTTTCTTTTGTTATTCTGGAATAATCCTTTGGTGGTGGGCCACATCAAATCCATTCTGGGCTAATCTTAGGTTTTCACTTTGATTTTGTCAAAACCCATCACTGTGATGTCAAATATTAATCTTCTTTATAGGCAACTCGTCAGTATTGTTACTAGTACAATATACACAGCATAACTAGCTTTTAGAAAAGAAAAAAAGGAAAAATAGTCAAATATACTTCTCTATTTTCGGATATTGTCTATATTTAATTTCTGTTATATTATTCAGCCAAATTTACCCATAGCATCAGCAAATTTTTAAATATTACCACTGTCCGTCAGGTGACCCAGAATCTCCCAAATCATTTTAATTAAGTCACTTATGCTTCTTCTTGATCCACTATTTTCGAAATAATTGGTTATCACCTACTTTCTTGATTGGAAAAAAAAATAAGAGAAGGAAATATAAAAATAATACAACATTTAATAAACAAAGTATAGTAAATTGAAGAATCTAAATTATGTATCTCACTACAAAAAAAAACTGGAATTAGCTACGAACGTCGTCGCCAATCTGTCGCTAAATCGCCCGTAGCTAGCAGAATTTCTTGATAATCTGTCGCTAATCCGTCGCTAAATGAGATTAGCGACGAATTTTTCTGTTTAGCTACAGAATTTGTCCGTCGCTAAAACCAATTTTTTAGTAATTGTTTTCCCTTGCATTGTTTGATGATATTAAGTCAATTTTGTCTAAATTCCAAAAGTATTTATAATATCTCAACTTTAATGAATTCGTTGTACCAAAGGTATGGAGACTTTGCAAGTATTAGTGATAGAAGTTGAAGTTCCTTGGAGACTTTACATTGTCGAATTCAACTTTGCTTCAATCAAATGCCTATGCATTGTGCACTCTTTAGTTAGTCGATCAAACTCTATACCAACCAGACAATAACAAAATATATTCGAATATACAGGTACATACATGATGATCAGCTGCATATAATACACAATAAATAGCCCCATTAAATTTTATGGTGTGTATATGGTTGAAAAATAATAAAATAAACCAATTCCAAATCCATTATCACAAGAAAAGAAGTGGGTGCATTTGATAATTAAAAATATCCATGAATAATTTGTATAGTCTAGTACCTTTAGCATTCACATCAATAGTAATTTTTGAAAATAGTGGAGCAAGAAGAACAAGTGATTTAAATAAAAGAAAATTGGGAGATTTTGGATTATTTAACAGATCAAGGGGTAATTTTAAAAAGCTTGTTGATAGTAAGGGTAAATTTGGCATGATAGTATAACGGTAGGGGTAAATTTGGCATGATAGTGTAACGGTATGGGTAAATTTGGCCGGATATTATAACGGTGTCACGACCCAGTTTTCTACCTTAGGATGTCGTGATGGCACCTAATCTCTAAGACTATGTAAGCATGGAATAATAACTCAATAGAAATAATCAAATAGGAATACTAAAGAAAGACCGATAAACTCATATAAACTTCCAAAATAGGATCTCAACCACAACTTTCCCAAAACTAGTGGAACTGAGTCATAAACTCTATAGAATAATCTAGAATATCTATTAGAAGAGAAATGAAAGATAAGGGAATGTGACTCTGAGGCCTGCGGACGCCGAGCATGTATACCATGAAGTCTCCGGATGACAGCTACAACCAAACACTAACGTCCAGCATGAGCAGACGTACCTGGATCTGCACAAAAAGATGTGCAAATGCATAGTATGAGTACACCACAACGGCACCCAATAAGTATCAAGCCTAACCTCGGTAGAGTAGTGACGAGACCAGGTCAAGACACCTACTAGGACATAATAAACTGAATGAAAATATAATAAAAGGCGGAGGAATAAATGATATGAAATAAGTTAATAACATAGACTAATAGCAGAATTGTAAGCATAGAGATAATGTAAAGGAAGCAATTAAAGAGAACCACAATAGTCAAATACGGACCAAGCTGATAAGACAAGGAAGAATAAAAGCAACAAGAAGTGTTCCACCAATAACTCTTTTCAACATGAGATAAACAACAAGAATTACAAACGAGGTACCGCCTCGTATATAACAAGAATCACAACTGAGGTACCGCCTTGTATATAACAAAAATTACAACCGAGGTACCGCCTCGTATTCACATTTCTCAATTTCAATCACAATCTTTCCTTATATCACTGGGGGATTCTTACATTAAGTTTTAAAAAAATTATTTTTTCCGAAATAGCTACCTGTATTTTAGCCCACCTTATCACACTGCGTGGCTTCAAGTAGTTCCCCTACTAGTAACATGTGTATCAAGCCCACCTTATCTCACTGCATGTGTATCAACCCCAAGCCTTATACCACTGCATGCATATCAATATCACAACATAATCACGACTCACACCACAAGTGCCCATATGCCATAACTTACCAAAAGAATCAACAATATCAATATTTCCACAAAGAGTAGCCCATGGATCAACCACAATGTGTACAAGAATCTCAACAATAACAAAATAAAAGTGAATAGCTCAACAAGAAAGATATCTCAACAGTTAACATCTTCGCCTAAATGTGATAACGACTTTCTCAACTTCAACACCAATAACTCAACAATAAGATATTTCACGAAATAACAACTTCAATTACAAGTAATTCAACAATTTAAAGATGTAACAAAACACAAGAAAGGCAATAACTTCAACTAAAGCATAAAAGAGCAAATTAGCAAGTAAAAGGTGAAACAAGTGTTAACAATATCAAATAAAGCATGTAAGCATAGATTGGCACAACAAAGGGGTGGATTAACAATAAAAGACATAACATGTTAAGACAATTCAATTAAATCATGATAAGAGCCTAAATCGGTCAAATACCAAATACAACCCGTGTACCCATTCGTTACCTNCCCCCCCCTCCCCCACACGGCTCAAATCTAACCAAAATTGACTTAATATCATCAAATAATACAAGGGAAAACTATTACAATAGATAAAGCTATGATTTTTATACTTTTCCCAAAAAGTCAACAAAAGTCAATTTGGGGCCCATCCGGTCAAAACCCGGGTCCAAGGGTAGATTTTGACTACCCATAACCCTATGAGTCCATATATATGATTAGTTTCAAAATCCAAGTCCAAAGCAACTCTCAAAACTCAATTTCTCATTTTTCAAAAACATGACAAAATTTCCCAATTTTTCCTCTTTGATTCACATGATTTTGATGATAAATCTAAGATATATTAATGAAATGTAGTTGGAAATTGATTAGAATCATTTACCTAAAGTTTGTAGATGGAAATCCTCTCTCCAAATCGCCTCATACCGAGTCTAAGGTTCTAAAATGAGAGAATATATTGAAAAATCCCAACTCCCAGCCCTTTTGTCCAACTGGAGATATCGCATTTGCGACACAGGGATCGCATTTGCGAACCCTGATAGCCTCAACAAATGTCGCAATTGCGACAAAGACTTTGCAATTGCGAAGATGGACAACTTTGCAAAAGCGAACAAATGTTCGCAAAAGCGACCCAAGCCCTAGACCTCCTGACTTCGCAATTGCGAAAGGGTCAGTCACAATTGCGACATCAGAGCACCCCCCCCCCCCCCCCCCCCCGGTCACCTTTGCAATTGCGAGGGTGGTAATTGCCATAACAGAGCACTAGCAACACCAGCAATTCCATTTTCAGTCCAAAACATTTTAAAACATGTCCGAAACTCAACCGAGCCCTCGGGGCTCCAAACCAAATGTCTACACAAGTCTAAAAATATCATACGAACTCGCTTGAGCGATCAAAATACAAAAATAATATCTAGAACTACAATAAATGATACCAAAACACATGAATTTCAAAGTAAATTTCAAGAACTTCTAGAATTGCAACTAAGCATCTGAATCCTATCAATTCAACTCCAAAATGATACCAAATTTTGCAGACAAGTTCTAAATAGCATAACAGACCTATTCCATGTCCCAAAATCAAATTTCGAACCCGATTGCTAAAAGTCAACCTACAATCAAACTTTTCAACTTCAAATTTCTAAATTTTGGCAAAACAACACAAATCAACCTACAGACTTTCGAATTCGGTTTCGGGCATACGCCCAAGTCCAAAATCACGATACGAAGCTATCGGAGCCATCAAAAAACCGTTCCGGGGTCATTTTCACAAAAATTAAAGTTTGGTCAACATTTCTAACTTAAGCTTCTAAGCCAAGAATCAAAGGGTCCAAATCAACCTGAAATCTTTCCGGAACAAAACTAATCAACCCAGTAAGTTATAAAACCATAAACACGCATGTGTGAAGCATCAATAGGGGAAACATGGCGCAATTACACAAATGACCGTTCGGGTCGTTACAAATGGAGGTTAAATATAGAAAATATCTGAAAGTAGAGGGGTATATTTGTGTCACGACCCAATTCCCAATATAGGCCATGATGGCGCCTAACATTGCTGCTAGGCAAGCCAACGGTGAACTATCCATTTAATTGTTCATTTTAATATTTTTAAAGTCATTGATTTTATTTAATAAAGAAACAAATAGTAGGTGACCATTGTAATGTAAAGCATAAAATAAACATAAGAGTGAAGTAGTGAATTTAATAGTCAAACACCACAAAATATCTACTAAAATTTCCCAAAATCCGATGTCCCAAGTGCACGAGCAACTAGTAGACTATACAAAACCTCATATACTACTGTCTGGAGTAAGATAGACAGAAAATAAATACAACAAGGAAGAGACTCCGGGTGCTGCACAATGGAGCAAAGGAAGCAGCTCACCACTAAGTCTCCGGGTAGCGGGGGTACGCGCCTGACTGGCCACC